TGCCAGAGATTTTATGACAAGACATGTTCGAATGTGATTGAGAAATTTAACAAGTTGACTCAAAAGACCATAGTGGAAGAATATTAAGAGAAATTTAAAGAGCTTAAGCCATTCATGCTTCAGAATAACTCTTATTTGGACAAGTAATATTTTGTATCCAATTTTATAAATGGCCTAAAGGAAGATCTCAAACCAAGAGTTAAGGTTAGTGAGCCTCTAACTTTTGCAGCAACTTTTAAACAAATTAAGTTATTCCAATTAGCCTTGGAAGTTGAATACAAAAAAAATAGACTACTTACTAAACCCAGCTCAACTAATAGTTTCTATGCTTTATTCAAGAACCTTTGTAAACCTCACTCCCAACCATAAAAAGTCACCCTAATACAACATCAACTACATAGAAGCAAACTCTCCTATAGCAAAAAAGATTGAAGAACCTATGTTTTAAATATGGTGAAAAATTTTTTCCCGATCACATTTATAAGAACAAGCAGTTAAACTTTATCATGATGAAAAAATTTTCAAAAGAAAAAAAATGACAGAAAAACCAGTTGACAATGGTCAAGATATCCATAATGAAGTAAACCAAGGGGATGGTAATTTGGAAATCTCTATCAATGCTCTAATAGGTAGCATTGTACACAACATACTAAGCATTAAAAGGAATGTGAAGGGGAAACCTTTGAATATACTTATAGACAGAGGGAGTACTCATAGTTTTGTGACTCCCAAATTGGTCAAAGATGGGGTGGAGTTAACGTGTACTAATCTTTTAACTATAACTATGGCTAATGGTAAATGGTTGTATAGTACAGCCAAATATAAACAGCTTGAATAGATAATGCAAGGGTATAAATTTACTCATTATCTAAGAGTTTTAGCATTAGGGGTAGTGACATGCTGCTTTAGTGAGTTTCAAAAAGAAAAGCAAGAAGTTACATCAAAAGATGTCCCAATAAAACTAGCCTAAAACTTATTTCTAGAGATAAATTGTAGAAGCTAGCCTATAAGGAACCTGAGATGTTGGGTGAAATGTACATGATTAGTGAGTAGTATGATGATATGGAAACACCAATTGTGCTTGAGCCAATAATAGCTTATATATTCATGGAGTCTACAGGATTACCACCAGAAATAGTGCAAGATCATAGCATACTTTTGAGACTAAGCTCTCAACCTGTTAAAATTGAAACCTACAGATTCAATATTATTAGAAGAATGAGATCGAAAGGTAAATAGTAAATATGTTGTCTTCCTCTGTCATACAAACCAACAAGAACCCCTTTTGCTTCTTCATGTTTGTTAGTGAAAAGAAAGGATGACACCTAAAGGATGTGTCTCAACTACAAACAATTGAAGGCAATGATAATGAAAAATAAATTCTCTATACCTATAGTGGAAAACCTTTTGGATGAGCTAAAAAGAGTCCATTACTTATAAAAAATACACCTTAAATTAGGATATAAAAAAAGTCCACTACTTATTAAAAATAAACCTCAAAATGAGATACTGATAGATAAAAGTGAAAAAAATAACATTCACAAGATAACCTTCAAAACTCATTATAACCATTACAAATTTAAGGTAATGCCATTTGGACTTACCAATGCACCTGTAACCCTTCAGTCTCTTATGAATGATATATTTACTCCTTACTGAAATTTTTACTAGTATTTTTTATGATATTCTTATTTATAGTTCTAACTTGAGAAAACTATAAAACATTTAAACATTGTATTTGAAATATTGAGAAAGAAAAAACTATGTGAAAAAAAAAGCAAGTGTTTCTTTGGTCAAAGGTAGGTTGAATATTTTCGGCATATTATATCATATCCTGTTAAGTTAAAAGCAATGCAAATTTGGCCATAACCTAAAAGCCTAAAGTCTTTGAGATGATTGACTGGATAAATGATCCTAAAAGGAATCACTAAAAGATAAGCTAAAAGTTAACAATAGAATGGGTGAATACGAGAAGGAAGATGGTGATGTTAGTTATTAATTTATTAGTTAGGAATACTAATGGTGATGTTAGTTATTAATCTATTGCCCAAGAATACTCTACAATTTTGTATTTTTTACACTTTTGCACATTTCTATAGTAGTTGTATTTAAATAATTCATTGGCTATAATTGACTTTTATAAATGAAAAATATATTTCTCCTCTTAATTCTCCTATATTCTTTTTTTAGTCTCTTTATTCTCTAAAACCCTAACCATGTCACTAAAATCACCTAACCAAGTCACAAACTAAGTCGTGACAATTTGAAATGGTGGTTGCCATTTGTCGGTGGATGTGTGAATTCGTTGTTAAGAGTTTTTGGATTATTACTGAATGAATTGTCATTTTTCTCCAAAAAGAATATTTTTGGTGAGGAAATTTAAGGTTTAATGGATGAATTCAATCTACCAAAAAAAAGCAAGAGCGGTATAAGCAAGACTATGGCAGAGATTATAACAAAGAATGAGCAGGAATCACTAAAAGATAAGCTAAAAGTTGACAATAGAATGGGTGAATACGAAAAGGAAGATGGTGATGTTAGTTATTAATTTATTAGTTAGGAATACTAATGGTGATGTTAGTTATTAATCTATTGCCCAAGAATACTCTACAATTTTGTATTTTTTACACTTTTGCACAGTTCTATAGTAGTTGTATTTAAATAATTCATTGGCTATAATTGACTTTTATAAATGAAAAATATATTTCTCCTCTTAATTCTCCTATATTCTTTTTTTAGTCTCTCTATTCTTTAAAATCCTAACCATGTCACTAAAATCACCTTAACCAAGTCACAACTAAGTCGTGACAATTTGAAATGGTGGGTTGCCATTTGCCGGTCGATGTGTGAATTCGTTGTTAAGAGTTTTTGGATTATTACTGAATGAATTGTCATTTTTCTCCAAAAAGAATATTTTTGGTGAGGAAATTTAAGGTTTAATGGATGAATTCAATCTACAAAAAAAAAAGCAAGAGCGGTATAAGCAAGACTATGGCAGAGATTATAACAAAGAATGAGCAGGAATCACTAAAAGATAAGCTAAAAGTTGACAATAGAATGGGTGAATACGAGAAGGAAGATGGTGATGTTAGTTATTAATTTATTAGTTAGGAATACTAATGGTGATGTTAGTTATTAATCTATTGCCCAAGAATACTCTACAATTTTGTATTTTTTACACTTTTGCACAGTTCTATAGTAGTTGTATTTAAATAATTCATTGGCTATAATTGACTTTTATAAATGAAAAATATATTTCTCCTCTTAATTCTCCTATATTCTTTTTTTAGTCTCTCTATTCTCTAAAACCCTAACCATGTCACTAAAATCACCTTAACCAAGTCACAACTAAGTCGTGACAATTTGAAATGGTGGGTTGCCATTTGTCGGTGGATGTGTGAATTCGTTGTTAAGAGTTTTTGGATTATTACTGAATGAATTGTCATTTTTCTCCAAAAAGAATATTTTTGGTGAGGAAATTTAAGGTTTAATGGATGAATTCAATCTATAAAAAAAAAAGCAAGAGCGGTATAAGCAAGACTATGGCAGAGATTATAACAAAGAATGAACAGGAATCACTAAAAGATAAGCTAAAAGTTGACAATAGAATGGGTGAATACGAGAAGGAAGATGGTGATGTTAGTTATTAATTTATTAGTTAGGAATACTAATGGTGATGTTAGTTATTAATCTATTGCCCAAGAATACTCTACAATTTTGTATTTTTTACACTTTTGCACAGTTCTATAGTAGTTGTATTTAAATAATTCATTGGCTATAATTGACTTTTATAAATGAAAAATATATTTCTCCTCTTAATTCTCCTATATTCTTTTTTTAGTCTCTCTATTCTCTAAAACCCTAACCATGTCACTAAAATCACCTTAACCAAGTCACAACTAAGTCGTGACAATTTGAAATGGTGGGTTGCCATTTGTCGGTCGATGTGTGAATTCATTGTTAAGAGTTTTTGGATTATTACTGAATGAATTGTCATTTTTCTTCAAAAAGAATATTTTTGGCGAGGAAACTTAAGGTTTAATGGATGAATTCAATCTACCAAAAAGGTTAAATTTAGTGAATATTTTTGTTTTCAGAGAATTTGAGATTTATGATTTATGGGATTTTACATATTTGAGGAAAGTAGAGGAATAAATAAAACAGTTGTTGGTTGGATATTGGAGTCGGATTGGGTAGAGCCAAGTATTCATATTAAATTGATTTTAAAAAAAAAATATCTTTCCCTACACATAAATTTTAAGGTAAATATGATCTCTTTTACTTCATAGATTTTATCAATTTTGTTATAAAATTTAAATTGAAATTTCATAAATTTGTTTGTCATAATATTTTCTGAATTTTAAAGTATTTGTTTGACAATTACTGCTAACGTATTTTAAGGTAAATATGATCTCTTTTGCTTCATAAATTTTATCAAATTTTTTATCTAAAATTTAAATTTTTATCATAATTTTTTTTTCTAAAATTTGAAGTACTGTTTTGGCAACATTGCTAACGGCTAGAGGTATTTGCTTTTTTTAGGTTGAATTACATTGAGTTAGCTTGAGTTTATATATATATATATATATATATATATATCACTCCATTTTTTTACAAAATAGATTAAAAAAAAAGAAATAAAAATAAAAAACGCAAATAATAGAAAACGTTGATAAAATTATATATATTTCACATAAAATGTAGTTTTAACATTATCTCAAAATCTAAATAAAGAGAAACTATTCTTATTAAAAATATGCGAACAACTTTAAATTTTAATTTTATCTTGTTCAATAAAAAAAATCTACATTTTATTTTATAATAATAAAAATATTAATGTTATCCCTCACTCAAGCAAACATAAACACAGCCGGAAAATAATATATATAAAAACAAAAACAGGGAACTTGTTAAACTTGAGGTCTGTTACCAATTGGAATCGGATTTATTTGCCGCCTATTTTATTCTTATACAGTTTCATATTTCCTTTTCGCCAATTCTGCAAATTCTTTTGATCATTAAACCCTGCATTCTTTGCATTCCCGAGATTACTTTCAAAACAGAGTCGTTGTTCGTGATATTAACATGGCAGCTGACATAGAGTTAGGGAGCAATCTAGTTTCGAGTCCTTCTAGTTGCAGGCACCCTCTCGGTCCTGGTTCTGTTTCTGGTTCTGGGTCAGCCATTGCTCCTACCATTGAGAATGTGGTGTCGACTGAGAACCTGGCTTGCAAGCTGGACCTCAGAGCCATTGCCCTCTATGCTCCAAATACTGAATACAATCCAGCAAAGTTTGCTGCGGTGATAATGAGGTTAAGGGCAACCAAAACCGCTGCTCTCATATTCTCTTTGGGAAAGATGGTTTGCACTGGGGCCAAAACCGAGCAACAACCCCTCTTGGCTGCCCGTAAGCATGCTCGGATTATTCAGAAACTCGGTTTTGATGTTAAGTTCAAGAATTTCAAGATTCAGAACATGGTTGCCTCTTATGATTTTACATACCCTTTAAATCTTACACGGCTTGGGAATTTTCATAGCGCGGTTTCAATATACGAGCCAGAGTTGTTTCCAGGATTGATTTATCGGATGAAAAACCCTTAAATTAAGGTTATGGTTTTTGCTTCAGGAAAGATAGCTATCGCTGGAGCTCAGAAGAGAGAGGAGATTCTAAAAGCCTTTGAGAAGATATATCCAATTCTCATATCTTTCAGAGCAGACAAGTGAAACAATTCCTGAAGAAGACCTGACAGAGAGTTCCTGGAGAAGAAGACACAGTTGATAAATTGATTTTTTTTTTTAAGTTTTAAGGGTGAATTAATTTTAAATTTCAGAGAGACCATATTTTCTTTTATGTAAACTTCAATTATTGGTTCTAATGAAAGTTTAATTTCAATATTTTCTATGAATTTCTCACCAGTTTAAACAAAATTCATTATTGTGTAAAATTTGAGCCTCCATGGTAGAACTGTGGGTTAAGGTTGCAGAATAAGTGCTGTTTAGATACACTAACCGGTAAGCACTAACAGCAACTGAATGCTTCAGCTGGATGTTCAAACTCTTTAACAGCCTTAACTTGTTGACTTAGCATCCACCCATGTGAATATAAATATAAATATGTAACCAATGCTGTCACCTAATAAAGAATTCTCCAAAACCAGCATTCATTCACCATGAAGCAAGTAGCACAGCTCTTTTGATCCATCAGCACTGCTCATCTCGAGCCATCAGAATCATGCGTATGACGAATCTACTCTGGATCAGATGCATTGCGCGGTATTCTCCCCATCTGAATTGCAACAAAAGGAGCTTCCTCAGGGCTTGCTTGAGCAGCTGTACCCTCAGTAGCAGCTTTTAAGGCAGTCTTTTTCTTTGCCTTCTGTGCCCAACCAACAAGACTTGCTTGCACATGCTCATCAAATATTGCCTTCTTGAATGAGCTTCCCATCTTTAATTCAATAGAAAAGACATGTAAATTGGAGTTCCCGATAAGGAATTGAACTCTATTGTTATAAGAAACTCAACCAACCTGTGTGACAATAGCATAAAGTGGCAGGGTGCTATAACTACAGAGTACCTGAACGAAAACCCTGAAGTAACCAACAGAAGAAAAAAGTTGGCAACTAAGTGATATATATATATATATATATATATATATATATTACAAATTATTTTTAATGACACATAAGATAATATTTATATTATTTTATTTATCAAATAATGTTTTTAATAAATTATTTAAATTGAATATTTTAGATAATTATTTAAATTGAAATCAAAATCTATGTGAGATTGAAATTTTTACATAAAATTTGAATTCAAATATATTAAATCATAATGTATATATATTTTTTTAAAATTTAATAACAATTCCAAATATATATACTTAATAAAATTTTATTTTTTGTCAAATAATTTTATCTAATAAATTATTTAAATTTAATATTTTTAGAAAATTATTTAAATTCAAATCAAAATCTATCAAAGATTGAAAATTATTTAATAGATTCTATAAATTTAATACTTTTAAATAAGTTAATGAATTATTGACTAAAAAGCATATATTTTTAAAGTAATAAGAACTTACATTTTTATATGAAAATATAAAACATTTGAATGTTAATAAAAAGTTAGACAAAAATATATTTTTGTTTTGAAAACAAATATAATGTTTTATTTATGTTCTAATTCAAATATTTTTATATTATATATTTGATTAATTTATTTGTTACTCTTTAGTCAGCAAATTTTTTTAATTTTGCTTTAATTGATTATAATTAACGTTTTATATTATATTTTTTTGTTTTATTCATTTTTTTAATGTTTTTATTTTTTGTTAATTTATTAACATATTTGCTCTTGTTATTATATATCTTTAATCTTGACAAATTAATATATAAATTTATATTCTCTATTTCCTTTTGCTATATTTTTTGTTATTGAATTTTTTTTGTCTACAATAGATGGTATGAGAAAAATAATGATTACTACCATATCTAACTTACAAAAAATACTATCAATTATGTTAAAAATGATTAAAAATAAAAAAAATATTTTAAAAAAATTTAAGCATAACAAAAAGAATCATTGTTACTTTTTTATCTAAAAAAATAGCTTATTTTGTTGACATATATAAAAATAATTGTTAGTCTAATAATTTGTATAATAATTACTTAAAGTATGTCAAAAACAAGAATTAATAAAAAGCAAATGATTATGACTAAATTAATAATTGTGATTTATTATTCAATCAAATATATATATGTATACACCTAATCAACATTACGATAAAAATAATTATTAATCTTAACTATTTAAATATTGATTCTTGATTTTTTATCAAACAAGAAAAAAGTGATAGCAAAATTTTTAGTATTTAGCAAATGAATTGAAAAAAATATATTTTTTAATGAAAAAAAAGGATTTTTATAATTCTTAAAAATTTACAAAAGTTTAAATTTTTTTAGATGAACAATATCATTTATAATAAATTATGTATAAATTATCATTTAATTGTAACTTATCATTTATAAATAAATGATTATATGTTAGATCAATAATTAAAAAATAAATTTAAAATTATGAAAAATTTAATTAAAAATCCCGCACATTGTACGGATTAAAAATGCTAGAGCAATTATAAGAATCTTACCAACCAAAATCTCACAATAACATAAAGGTTATGGTCATTGGTTATTACCCTATTAGAAGCCTTGGAATGATATAACAAACTTCACCCATTATGCAGGAATCGAAGCCAAATTGAACCTACAGATGATGAAGAAAGTGTCATTATGTTATTCCAATTACTATGTGGTTCGTATGGCCAAAGAGTGACATAAAATATAAGCTTACCCATATCCAAAAGAAAAATGCAATCTCAAAAGCATTTTGGAAGAGGATAAAATGGATCAAGAAGAGAACAATGCGGGGCTTCTTGAACCAAAAGTGTTCATCTGATGGTTGAACCACCAATTCCCCTTCAATGGCTATATGTTTCTCAGCAACCTCATGAGCCAACTGGATAATCACATGCTCGAGCTTGGTGCCCACAGCAAGCAGAAGCTGGAAAACAAAATAAATAAGTGGAAAAAAACAGAATGGGCACACTAAAAGAAATTGGATATCATCTCATTAGTCAGTTTCTAAGAGTATCATTGTTGTCACTTGTCATTATTGATCTTCACGTGTAGAATCAGATTATATCATCTCATTGGTCAGTTACTCAAACGATTTACCAAAATATGGATTGGATTATTGTGAAGACTTGCACCGACCCTGTAAAGTATTATTCACTTTGACTCGAAAATCTCACAGTTTTGTTCTACAAAAAACATCTCACGGATTTGGGTTTAGATCTTTACATATATATCATTTTTTATCCACACATTCTTCTAATGTATTACATTAATTTTTAGTCTATGCAGTTATCTGTTCAATTTGGAACCGATTCACAACAATTAGCTCTATTTTGTGTAGATATATAAGTGTTTATTTCTATGCATGTGTAGATGTGTGTATAAGAAACTGTATTAAAACTACTCACAATGAAAGGGATGAAAGCAAGCCAGAAATATGTATGCCAGCCTGAAGAAGATTGAGAAAATGTCATCATTATACACAGAACATTACTGCTACGAAGTAATCTCAACAAAACAGTGATTTGTATTATAAGAAAATTTTTTGACAAGTTTGTGAACGTAATTGAACATCAAAACATGATAATACTAACAGCATAAGACATCAAGATGTAGTTAATTGCTAATAATAACAATCAATAGTATTACATACCATTAATATTCAGCAACAAGAAGATGACCACAAATAGCCAGAGATACCAACTGCAAACAAATGAATGAAACGATAAAACAAGATGAATCAGCAAGTGTGATTTAAAGTCCGAACATACCTATTTGATATGTGCAAGAAAAGAAACCATATGACAGTAAATCTTCACAAATATACTCTCAAATATCACTTGCCTTATACCAACAACTTGCTTAAAATCATCTTCCAAGGCCCGTATCATGTATTTGTGAAAATTAAACTTGGGATTCCCCCTGCAATGGGTCTGCAGTACAAATAATAGATATTGGTAATTGGCTATGACAAGGAATGACACCACAATCATAACAAAGTTCTGCAAGACAACCAGTTTTCGACAGACAACTTACCATGATGAAACCTAGCCTTAGTGTCACGTAATCAGATTTGGTCACAGATGCATAAAATTGCTTAAAAAATGAATGCTGTAAGAAAACAAAGGGAAAATGAAGAAGATCAGAGTCGTGGTTAGCAAAAACATGCAGACTTATGCTTCCAAAAAAAATGTTTAAGGCTCAATTAAGATTGTTTCTCATTGGATGTCTTGTAGTGTTCAATGTTATGAAAGAAAAGTGAGACAGGGGAGATCAAGATAAGATACCTGACAGAACTAAAAACATTTATTCTTTGAAGGTAAGTAAACAAGGAAGGGGAGAAAGATATTCATTGTAAGCAGAAACAAACCCAATTTAACTATGGCCTTCACTGTTATTCCCCATCTTATGAGGCAAAGCATCACTTTTTATTACACTACAGTAATTTCTTCCATTTTGTCCAATACCAAGTTAGAAAAACTCTTTGTGCAAAAATAATCTTTCCCTTTACAATTGAAAAACAGATGATTGCAGGATCAAACGTAAATTTATTGACCACATGACGCAGAAATGAGCACAAGCATATGTAAAGACACATTTATCTAACAATTCAGACCAAATTCCCAACAATGGCAAACAAAAAAGCCAGCTTAGGCCCAATTGATATTTAACAAAAACATATGTCTTAAGACCATCAAGACTAAATTCCAACTCCACCCACAAATTCAAAACATAGGCCATAGACACAAATATGTATATTTCTCATATGTGAAGCAATTTCAAGGTCTACCTTTCTGTTACATGCATATTTCATGCCAATTCTGAGATATGACAGGCACGGGGACGTGAAGGGGAAAAAGAGAAAGAACACTTTAGAACCCACCCCTTTTCATTAAGTTCGATCAATTATAGATGTGAAGGGAAAAAAGATTGTATCATAAATGAAATAACAGCTTACCAACCAACCTAGCAGAGTTGAATCTTTACCGAAACCCTTAAAATGCTCTTTGATAAAAGCATGCTGATGGACATGAGTGACTGTTTTCTTCAACACTGCACTAACACAGTACACAAATTAGAAGCACCAAAGACAAAAATGAACTAGCAGACCACCTTTGAGTGACTATAAGAAAGTAATTCATGCACTGATTTTCGTCCTTTCTGGCCGAGGGAAAGGGAATGGGGAGAAGTCACTCAGCCATATCACTTTCCTACTTATGTCAATTTCTCAACTACAAAGAATTTTATTACTGGAAGAGACATATACTGCATAGTCTATTGACTTTGAGATAAGGCTTCGTTCAGTCTGCAGTCCCACTAACAATAACCTAGGGCAATACTTCTATCAGCAGTGACCAAGATTCTGAATGAATGTGTCCATGTGTGCACCGGACAATGAAAAGATATCAAGGAAAATAGTGAGCATTTAGATAGGCATTAATCCTTACCTTGCTCTGCATCATAATTCTCTTTTTCAATTGAATCTTCCCAACGTTTCCATTGATGTATCTACATCAAGAAACAATATCTTTTTTATGAGAAGCTGAGAACAAACAAATAACTGCTCCACAAACAGAAAAAGTTGAAGAATAAGCAAATCAAGGATATTAAACTGCTTACCCTTAACCCTCCAAAAGAAACTGTGAGAACACAGAATGTCACATGGACAATGGCCAGGACAAAGATAAAAATATGCAGATGATGTAGGGCTTGAACAGACAACAAAGGTACCTTACCCTGAAGCACAAAGATATGGAAATAATAAGAGTACTATAATCAAAGTGTCTGTATTTTTTTAATTGAAAAAATGAGCCAGAACCTGCAGAACTGTATTAAGTAAGATAAATGGGATCCTTGAGGAATACTAGATGCATTTGCTACATTGTTAGTGTCTCAGTTTTAACCATCAAAACCATATTATTAGTCTAATCAGGAATTCCTTTCTAACCATGACAAATTTAATTCCTTGTTTTTCCTTATAGCACAAATAACAGTAACAACCATTGATTTGGTGGTGAGTAATTATGTTACCTTCTTACCACAGTAACCCATCTGGGACGAGGTAGATGCTTCAGCCAGTAGGCGCCTGGTGCCACCGGACAGGGTAAAAGCAAAGTACTTTTGAAAATGTGATGTTGTAGGAGTAACATGGAAGCCCTCAGCTGGTTCTTTATTGTCTTCAATTTTACAAGGGAGCATGCTTGTTAATGCTTCCCTTGATATGCAGATTTTAGAAATTGCACTCTGAAATACTGTCAACAACAGTGATATAAACCCCAACAGCATCAACTCTGCCAAAAAAATCCTCCATTTCAAACTAACAATTTGGAAAATAGCGAAAGAATTTGTCAACGGCAACACATAAAAACCCATTCTTTCCTCATAAATTTCAAAAACTTAAGCAATTTTCCCATCCTTAAACATCCAATCATGAAAAAGTAATATTTAGCTTTTTTTTTCCTTAACATGTTCAAAAGATCATCTTTTCTGCAGTCTTAACTCCTCCTACAAGAGAGATAGAGAAAAAGAACTTCCTCTATAAATCACAAAATGCAACTTACCCTTTTTAACTTTCCCTTTTAGGAAACTGAAGATAGATAGACATAGAAAAAATACTGTTCTTTTGAAAATGCAGAATGTGAAAAAAAAAGCTTTCCCTTTAACACTTCCAAACAAATTTAACATCAAAAAATGAAAAAAAAAATAGTGATAAAAAAGAAATGGGTTACCTTCTTTAACTTTCAAAAGAGCCTCAAAGAGTGGTTTCTGTTGCTTCTTCTTCAAAATATTCCCAACATAATGAAGCAAACGTTCCATAGCCAAAGAAATGGCAACAATCACTGTGCAAACTGCTGCTACGACCCATGTTGGTGTATACTCCAATGTTGCCCCTTCTCCTCCTCCTCCAGCCATTTCTCTCCAAAGCTTCTTCCTTTACTTTTCTTCACTTCCCTTCTCAAAGTGTCACTGTTATTGGTTTGGTTCTCAGTTCTCAGGAAAAGATACCCAACCCAAAGGCCAATCCAATCTTCTTGCTTACCAATGTCTATCAGTTTTTTTTAACATGCATGCAACGAAAACATTGGTCTTTTTTTAGTGAGAAACAAAGGGAAAGAAAGTTCTCTTTTGTAGGGTCATGTAATAACAATGTAATTTAATGAAATGTTTATGTGAATGTGGTTTCATTTTGAGTTGTTACAGGGAAGTTGTTGTGTTGTTATCATGATCTTGAATTTAGGAAGGGAGTAAGAACAGGACAATAGGTGGGGAATTTCTCTTTTTGGCAACTTTATAATACTAGTTTTGAGAATTTTTAGTCTTTTTTTTTGTTTATTTTATTACAAAGATAACTACAAAGAAAATCAAAGATGTTACAAGAAACCCATTGTATAGGACAGATGGGGCCATGGATTTGATTCGCTTAGATAGAGGGTTATAGACCAAGGGCTATTCTTTCTTATTTGTGGAGGAGGTTATAGTAGATCTTGAAAAGATAATAAAAGTTTGGTACGTGAAATTTTAAATTTTAAAAGAAAGTGTGATTCTCGTAAAGGTGTAATATTTAAATTTTTTATTTTAAAAATATTTTGTATTCAAATTCAATTATTTAGTTGAAGAAAATTTATATATTTTAATTTTTAAATAATTATTATAATCTCTTTAATATATATGATGGTAATTTTTTATTAATTTTTATTAATGATAAATACCCAAATGACAAACTTTTAATAGCAAAAAAAAAATAAATATTTTATTTGATTGTTGCTTTTATTTATAAAATATCATTAATAAAAAAAATTAAGAATTATTTAAAACATTTTTAATTAGAAAATATTTTAAATAATCTTTAATATTTTTTTAAAGAGGATTATTTAAGATATTTTTTGTTCAAAAAATACCTTAATAATCCCTTTTTAAAATGTATAAAGGATTATTTGAAGTATTTTTTGTTTAAAAATATTTTAAATAATGCCTTTTAAAAAATATGAAAGAATTATTTTAGGCTTTCTTTTTATCAAAAAAACATTAAATAATACCTTTCAATTTTTTGAAGGGTATTATTTAAGACACTTTTTACTAAAAACACATTAAATAATCCCTTTCATTACTTATAATATTTAAGAGATAAAAAAAAAAGATATTGAAGTAATTCAATTGGTTAGAACATATGGTTATTAATCATAAGATTGTAGGTTCAATCTCTCTTTTTAACATTTTAATGTTTTTTAAAGGATATAATTTAAGAAATTTTTGATCAAAAATACCTTAAATAATCTCTTTTATTACTTGTAAAATTTAAAAGATAAAATATAAAAAAAATTTGGAGTAGCTTAATTGGTTAAAGCATATGGTTATTAACTATAACCCTTTTTTTTTCTTTGGATTACTTATAAAAAAATTTTTTTATTATTTAAGGTATTTCTGACTAGAAAACATCTTAAATAAAACTGATCAATTTTTTTAGAGGATTATTTAAAACTTTTTTTTTTCAAAAAATGCTTTAAATAATCATTTCTCATTTAATTTTTTGTAAAAGATTATTTAAGATATTTTTTAACTAAAAAGGCCTTAAATAATCTTGGTCAAATTTTTATAGGTGATTATTTAATTAATTTTTTGCTAAAAATATCTTAAATAATCTTTTTAAAAAATGTAACAGAATCATTTAAGGCGTTTTTTATCCCAAAGACAACATTTTTTATACCAAAGACCATTAATTGCAATATTAAAAAAAAATTAGCAGCAAAAATCTATAACTGACTTGCTGTCACTTCCATATATGATTTTCAAAATGGTAATATCTATTTTATAATTTTTTATTTAAGTCAAATTTGAAAATAACATAATTTTTCCCTCGAAATCTTGAAATACCACAGGTATATGTGAGTTTTTTTATTCTGAAACTTTAGGTACTATTAAAAATTTGTCACTTTTTTCTGAAATCAGATTACTTGAACTAAACCGTTAAAATCAAATACTTATTAGTAAGATTTAAAAAAAAAATACATTGATTCTTTCAAACCAAACAGCTCCTAAATGGGATTGGGTTTGCTTTGACTTTTTATTCTCGATTTTGTTACTTTCTTGGTTTTGAGATTCCATTTTATGGTGAAATTATATTAAGTGATTTTCTATTATTAGTAGTTTTTTTATATTGCTAGTTTCTCCAAATGGAACAATTCAAATAAACACAAGTTAATAATAATATTTTTTATAAATAAATACAAGTAGTAAAAGATAAATGAAAATGACTCAATAATGTGAAAAGTATATTTTTTAAAAAATATGATTGAGATTTTAAATTTTTAATATTAAAATCAATTCAAATATCATTAAACTAATAGTAATAATTGTACCTTTTCTTCATCTAAAAAAAATGAAAGAAAAAAGAAGTTTATAAAATATTTATAATATGAAAAAAGAAAGAATAAATTTTTTATTTAATGGAACCATATACTTAACATGTGATTTCTCACAATTGTTTTTAGTTTATTGAAATGGTGGGACCTTGATCAGACAACATTCCTAGGAAGTTAGTTAACCCTTGGGAACATGATAATGCAATAAACATTAAACATAAGTTTTTTTACTATGATGTCTTGCTTTTATATTTTCTCTTTACTTTAATTAAGGTTGGCGATTCAAATATATTTCATTGAGTTTTGACTTGATTCGATTTCGTAAGATTAATTTTTTTTTATTAAATCAAATTTTAAATCGAATCTGATAAGATAATGTTAAAAAAAAAAATAGAAGTCAAATCAGGTCAAGTTCGAATTTTAAATAAATTCGATCCAATTAGATATTATATAAAATTATTTATTTAATTATTTATTTAATTTTTTATTTATCTATTTATATTTAAAAAATAATATTTTATTAATTTCAGATCGAATCAAATCAGTTACGATTTATACAATATTAAATCAGGTCGAATTCGAATATAAAAAAATAAAAAAATTAAGTTAGATCGAATTCAAATTTGATGAATATAAAATCAGATCAAATTCGATACGAACAAAAATTCATCTCGATCCGATCTATTGTCAATATTAAACTTTTATCATTAAATTTGAACTCCACGAGGACTTTCAATGATATATTAATGATACCAAATCTTTATTTACAAATTTACTTATTTATTTTCATGTCAATAACAATATAATATCCATAATACATTTATTTATTCAATTGGAAAAAGAATTTATACTTAAGTTACTGCTGTAAAAAAGATATTGTATACAGTACGAGTAAATTTCATATCTGATCTTTACTTTTTTTTTTATTCTAATTTTATTTTAATCTTTAGCTTCTGAATTGTTTTTTTTTTAGATCTTTATTTTTTTATTTTTTTTATTATTATGTTAACAATTCAAAAAAAAAAAATTCAGGTAAAATGTCAAGAAAATGTATATTAATCAATTAATCATCCATAGATTAATTTTGGCTTTCATTCAACCATCATTTATATTTTTCTTAACTAAGAAGTTTCATCTATATGTATTTCCAAACCAAATTCAACTTCTATTTGTTTGTTTATTGTATCAAGTAATCTCTAATCCTAATCATAGTACTCTTGTCAATATTGGAGTTCTTTAATATTTTAAGTCAAACTTTTTATTATTATTTTTATGGTGGAACATTGATAATCTATTGTATTCACCATAAAATCCAAATCATCCTTGAACTTCTCAAAGTCTTTATTTTATTCACATATTATCATAGAAGTAAGTTTTACTTTATTAATTCCTTTAAATTTTTTAAAAGCCATGCATAAAATACTAACCAATCACAACAAAACCAAGGTTTATATACACAAAATGTTCATCGTACTTATGATAAAATAATACTTGTTTTATTTTTTTTATTTGAAATTGTTAGTGTTTGATATTTAATTATTAAAATTAAAAACTTGATATTTTATCAATTGATTATATAACGATAGTGATTTATACATCAAATCTCAATTATATTTTTGTGATTAAAATTAAAAGAATTACGTTTGAAAATATCAAATTTGTGATAAAATAGGGTTTTGCATATGAAAAATAAATAAAACAAGTAGGCTACCATCCCATAATATATATCATTAGCAAATTTCCACCACTATGAAAAATAAATTCGTGACCTCTCAATGTGGGAGGGTAAATGTTTGAAATGAAATTGAACTCTTATACTTCATTATTAACAAGATAAAGAAATGATTGGGAAGTGAAGCTTTTCTTCTTTTTTTTTTTCTTTTTTCAATTTTTCCGGTTCTTTAAAGGCAAACAATGATAACCAAATTGGCTTTAAAGTAAATTGAATTTCAAAAACAATTAGATAGAACCTACTAAGAGAGCAAGTGGATATATATATTTGAAATTATCATATATTGAATCTTCACTATTAACAAAACACTATAACCACTAACAAGTTGTCCACATTGAAAGGTTTGTTACTAATTAGATAATTATTTTATTACTAACCCATGTACTCCTGAATTTTATGTATCAAAACAAAAGTTTATTTTTTAATATGGGGTTGGTAGAAAAAAATTATTATAGATTTTTATTTGCAAAATATAATTATTAAAATTTCTACATAACATCATCTCAATCACAAATTATTATCTTTAATAAATTTTAAAATTAAAAATTATTGTCAATAAAAAAATACTTCCATTAATGTTTGGCAAATTCATCTTAAATTTGTTTGGTCCATGCCATTGTTATGAAGTTGTGATTACAATTCCATTCAATTTGGGCGTTGTTTTTTGGGAACAAACATTGTCAAATTGTAATAACTAATGAGCAACTAGCTTCCTTCTCAAATGAAAAATATTAAAATATATATATATATAGTAAAAAAAAAAAAAGGAACTGCAAGAGACGGCGTAATCATCAGGAAAACATAGAAAATATATATAAGAAAAATCAATTTATATCAATGTAAATAAAATTTTTTAAGTTTATATTTTTTTAATCATTAATTTCAACAGATTTAAGATATGAGATTATATTTTTTAATTGAATCAAAATTATTAAATTTTAAAAATATTAATATGATTTAAATAAATTATAGATTTAATATATATATATATATATATTTATAGATTTTAAGCAAAGCTTACTCCAATCCTGCCTAACAGCAAGATGAAGAAATCTTAGTCTACTATAAATGAAATATTCAATCAGGTAGTAGCTTAACCTGGTTTAGTTTGGTCTAATATTGAATTGACCCATTCACTTTGAATATCCACGATTGAATAAAAAATAACTTATTATGATTTCGAGCAAACTATTATAGTGAAGTTGTTAGACACTCTATTTTTATATAGCATTTTGGTTCGAATATGAATGGTGGAATAATTTCTTCTAAAAGAGATAAAATAAATCCTCTAATGAATTTAATTTTGATTTCACACGCATCACTTAGAAGAATTCTAGAGAC